AGATCAATATGTCATCCATAGGTCCTGAGCCAAGAATTTTGGGATCTAAGTTCTCTAAATTTCAATTTCCATCGGAAGATCGCGATGTCATCAAGTTTTTTAAAGATTTACCTGCTTGCAAGTGGTCGTTGGGGACCTATATTAATGAAATTATCGAAGGACCAGAAAGTGATCTTACCTTTGATCAGCATCTTACCAACTTCGTAGAAAACCTTAGAATTATAAACCATATGTTTTCCCTTCCGTTACCAATAAAATCGTTTAGTTTTAATTACTTAAAATGGTTAAAGGTACTCTTGTCGCTCTCCTTGCTTTATTGATACTAGATTGAATTTAGCTCATAATCTCTATTGTTACAGTCATTATCTGGCAAGGCCGTTATACAGTCGTGTCGGGAATTTTTTGATGCTAAAATGAATCTTGAAAAAAAGAAAATCATTAATTTCGTGGTTAAGGTACATTAATATCCATTCAAAGTTATATTGTAGCAAATAAGAACATTCAAATTGTCACTGTCTTCTTTCAGGAATCAGTTAATGTTACCGCACAGACAAAAGGCTTCCAGAACATTTTACAACATTCTGTTCTATCAGGAGTAGAAGCACTGCCACCCGAAATGCTAGAAGATATCTATTATGTCACAAGTGATAACAATGATGACGAAGATACAGATGATGATCATATTTCTTATCTGAAAGAACCCGAGTATTTTGACAAGCTTGTTAATAGCGTAGATTTATCCTACATTGCAAAAGAAGAAGAACCAATAACAGCATCCTCAACATCTACAATTCCAATAATCACTACCTGGGACTCCTTTATAATAGATGATTTTGACATTTTGAAAGTTTTTAATTGTTTACGTAATTCGTTACCCAAAAAAAGCCCTGAAGTCCAGTAAGTATTTTTTTTTACATAATGGTTTTGCAAGAGAATTTGTTAATGAAATTTGTAAATATTATCTTTTCTATTGAAGTCCACAATATTGGGGTGTAATGGATTTAACGGGACAACACATACCAACCAAACAAAAATTAATAAAAAAGTGGAACGAACTTGTAAATAATTTTAAATCTGACATTGCATGGAGTATGGTTGAACTTGAACAGTTCGAAACAAACTTTTTTGACAATATTGAGGTAATAAAAGCAACAGTTTAGTTATTATCTTT